GAATTTCTTTGTTCTCCTCAACATAAAAGAAGATATTTTGAAGAATATTCGTAACCACCAGGAAGTGGTCCCGGTTGACTCCAATAGTGTTTTTTCTCTCCATACTATGGAAGACATGATGGCAAAGAAACTGTTTGGTTACCAGTATTGTTCCAAATATATATGTTTGCATTCAACAGCAGAAGGAAACTCATACAGGTTGAGAACAACAACAACATAACTTTAATTTTTGGGTGAACTATTCCTCCAAAGCAGCCTAATATAGCTGCTGTTGCCATTTGTGTCAATAATGAAAATTAAACATTAGAAAGAAAATCACTCACTGTCCGTGACCGAATCGCTTTTGTAAAATAATGTATATTGAATTTATACAGTGAACACTATTCAGTCTATTTGTCGTCTATTTATTTTATACAATATAATATTATTTATTCAGTGCTTTAAGTGTTTGTAGGTCAATTTCTTTGTTCTATTGTAATTCATGACTTTACTTGTCTTCAGTAAGTTTGTTTTTACAAAGGCTAGTATTTTTATTTTTATTTTTGTGATATTGGAATTGGTAACAAGAATTATGAAATTGCAATGCATCAAAAATTTTGATTGGATAAAAATCCTATTTTAAGCTATATATATCATTATTGTGATGGGGGGCCCTGCAGTAAGTCATAGCCCCGGGCCCAGTGAGGTCTTAAAGGGGTCATATGATGCGAAATAATGTTCTTTTTAGCAACATCATATGACCCCTTTAATGCGGCCCTGAGGATTCACCAGATGCTGCTCAAGTAAGTTACTCACTTTGACATGATTCTTAACCACATTTGTTCTTTCTAATCGCTGGTCCTCAGGGATGCCAATTTCCTCCCAGATGTCCTTCAGATGGCAGAGAGCTTTATTCAGACATGCCACTGATTCTGCAGCAATCACCTCACTAAAATCATTGAGAGAAAGAACAGAAAATACATTGTTGATAAACATCTATTCCTTGACATTTATGTACTTACAGATATCCACCAGTGATTAGGATCATTAATAACATTAACAGAAGTTACTACATTATTATCTACTTAAGTTTTTTAAATAAAAAGTTATGTACATTCGATTGTTTAGAAATGCATTGAAAAGTTTTCATATATTGGCATTTATTCATTCAGTGAATGCACGTTAACTTACTGCTTTACTGAGTCATGTTTGCCATGACATTAATTATATAACTACCGTTAACGTTACCCACCCATACGAGCTGGAGTTGAAATGAGCTGAAAACACCTGCTATCTCAACAGTAACGTTAGTAACTTTACGCGCTGCATGGATCTCAGACAGTTAAATGACAAGTAAATAAATGATCGCGCGTGTGGATTAACATAAATAACAATGCCAAATGTCATCTTCAAAACAAGCTATAAATACCTTTAACGTTACCCACCCATACGAGCTGGAGTTGAAATGAGCTGAAAACACCTGCTATCTCAACAGTAACGTTAGTAACTTTACGCGCTGCATGGATCTCAGACAGTTAAATGACAAGTAAATAAATGATCGCGCGTGTGGATTAACATAAATAACAATGCCAAATGTCATCTTCAAAACAAGCTGCAGCTCAAACTACATTTTGATCAAATGACACGCGTTTAAATCTGTCTCCGCATTCGTAAATAAACACCCCCAAACTGAAACATATCAGCAAACGTACTCACCTCTTCCTCATCTTCACCCCAAGACAAGGCTTTTCGCTTGTTTATTTGTTTTATAAAGGAATATGTGACTGCACAGTCCTCGCACTCCGACCGTGCGCGTAACCGTTTCTGTCGGATTCAAAATATGCGTCGAAAGAGCGCCGCTCGTCTGATTGGCTGATTCGAGCTTTCCTGCGCATGCGTGAGGAAGTGTCAGACAAACAGACGGATTCTTCCACCGTGACCTCAGAAACGTTTTTAAACGACCACTTCTGATTTTTCCATGAATATTTTATAGTAACAAAAATAAGTAATTGTTCGACAATAGTGATGGTCCATTTTACCCTATATTTCCGACGTCGTATAACAAATATCTTGAAATATCTCTGTTTATTGCACTATTTATATTTCATTTCCATACCCATATTTGGTTTGTTTAAAACAAGCTGCTTTTCATGCTAGGTTAAATTTATGTTAGATAATAGATCATATTAAACATATCTAATACGTCTCATAACAGTGTATCACATGTACCATATTTGTGTAATGTGCTTATTGTATGTCATATTGTTGGTCATTTCAAAAATAAACGAATTAACTTAGACTTGAAAATATACACATAGCTAAATGGGTTCACTGGCCATTTCACTGTGTACTCAATAATAGTTGGATGGAGCTAAAAGACACACCTGACACCAGTAACTGTTTTATTGATCAGTTTTGAATCAGTTACTGCATGCATGGCAAGTTCTGAACAGAGAGTATAAAACATTTTTATAAAGTGCAGTTTTTTATATCCCATGTCTGCCAATTATCCACGCATAAATTCAGAGGACCCCTGCGCAGACAGACAAAGGGACAGTTCACCCGAAAACCACAATCCTGTCATAATTTACTCACCCTCATGCCGTTCCAGACATGCATGACTTTCTTTCTTCTGTGAAACATAAAAGAAAATCATTTGAGAAACATTTCAGTGTTTTTTTCTATACAAGGTCCATGGTCACCAAAGCTGTTTGGTTACAAACATTCTTCAAATATCTTCTTCTATGTTCTGCAAAAGAAAGAAAGTCATGCAGATTTGAAACACACGAGGGTGGGTAAATGATGGCAGAATTGTCCTTTTTGGGTGAACTAACCCTTTAAGAATAATCACACCTTTTTGTCATCCCCTGTAACAGTACATTTGTTTAGGGATGATATAGATGTCTGGGACAATTTGGGCATATTCTGTCCTTTTTGCCCTCTCCTGGAATTGATCATAGAGTGTCTTCTTGTGGAATGTTGTCTCGGACTCAAGCATGGTTATCCAGTAATGCTTCCAGAAGCCGTGCACTGTTAGTGATGGCTGTAGTGACAACTATGAATCTGCAACCTTTCAAATGGACAATTTTATATTAACCATATATTCCATTTGTTGTACGTAATACGTATCTATAAAAACACAAAATACATTCTAGAATATTTCACCTCTTTCCTTGCCAAGGAACCGGAGTGCAGAGATCTCAGAGAAGGTGCAGCCACCAAGAAACATCACTAGAACAATCCTTTGAGCATCAGTTTTGTTCCTGGCTTCTGAACTACTACTGCCACCTGAAACAAAAACAGGACAAAAGAGGGGGTAGTGTATGCTTGATAGCAAAAAAATAAAACATCAATAAAATTATTATTAATAATAATGATAATAATCAAATGTTTCTAAACATAAGAAAATTGACAAATTCCAAACAATAATGAATATATTCTGAACTACTACACCACCATATAATTACTTTACATAGCTTACAAACATTATATAAAGCTTTATACAAACAAATGTTTTGTTCAAACCTGTTACAGCAAATTCCTGTCCATTCAGCATGCGTGTAACCTCCTCCAGACCTGTCCAACCATCTCTCTCCAACACCTGCAGACAGCACGGGCCAGAAGCAAACACTGTAAAATGTTGTATAGCAAAAACGAGGAAAAAAAGGCAAAGCATTCAAAGCCTTCTTTTAAAGCTAACCTGTTCAATCAGTTTGCAGCTCAGAGGAATATAAGCACCACTGAAAACATAAGCCATGTCTCGCGGAACGCGAAGATCATATTCCTCACCAGACTTTGGTACCTGTAGGTGTAGATAAGATGATCATGATGTAAATATTTATTGTTTTTTTGTTTGTTTTTTGTTCTTTATAGTAATTAAATATTGTATGTTTGCTAACCAGAGCAAGTCTTTTACTCAGAGCTCGAAAATTGCTCTTCTTAGCCAATGAGGAAAAGGCATCCGTCAGCTTCCCTGAACAGAAAACATAAGAAACTACCCAGTGGATGTATGTATGTGTACATTGTAGTCAATGTAATAAATATGAGAGTGAGAGGAAGAGAGTGAGAGACGAAGAGAGTGAGCGAATGAGAGGTTCCACATTCTCACCTACAGTCTTGTCATTGACAAGTTTCCCCACTTTACTCTCCATGACTGTCAGTGTTTCTCCAGCTTGCTGTTCTTCCAACAGACCCAGCTGTCTCAGGTTTGCAAACGTCAGCAGGTGCTTTATACCATAACTCTAAACAAGAGACAACTTACGGTATCACAGAGAACATAATCTCAAAAACATCGTCAGTCATTTAAGACAATCCACTTAAACACTAATTTTAAAGACAAAGTAATACCATGGCTTTATGAAGCATTACGCAAATGAGTTGTTTATAAATGTCAACTTTCAAATCATAACATACCTGAAGGTACTGCGCTTTAAGAGATCTATAGTCTTTGGACAAAAGACCTGTTGGATAATTAAATGCAATATTTAACAGAAATTGTTGAAATAAACAACCTTAGCCATGGAATTTGTATACAAGACTCACCATTTTCTGTGATGGACAACAGGCAAAGGAGTCTAAGACTGTCAATCATTGACACCTGATGGACAGAGTTTCCTCAAGCATGATTATTACTGTAGCATTATTATACCAGTGTCTCATAACAACAACATTCTTTGTTTTCTCATACCTGTCTGTTGATATGTTCTTCAATGTAGGTGATACATTCACGGATCTCAAAGCCTTCAAGTAACGCTAGTATTTGTAAAAAAGGAGGAGATACAGAAATGAGTGAGATTACAGTGTCATGTTGTAGATTTCAGATTTGTGTGATTTTAAACTTATCAAGACATCTTACAGTGTTCAGTCTTCAACAATTCCTGGAAATCTTGCTTGGTTTTCTTCTTCATCATGGATTCACTTGCACCAATGTCTAGTGGAAGAACAAAGCATGTTCTCTTTTATTTATTACTAAGAAACTGTCTTCATTATTTGCAAGCAGCTGTACTAACTAACAGGATTTGCTCTATTTATGATGCCAAAGGAAACATTTAACATACACTACCGTTCGAAAATGTGGGTGCGGAGAGATTTTATTCATGTTTCTGAAAGAAGTCCCTAATATGCTGATTTGGTGCTCAAGAAACATTTCTTGCTATTATCAAAATTTTTTGTGGAAATCATGATTGTCAGGATTTGTAAATAATTGAGAGTACAAAAGAACAGCTTTTTTTCTTTTTAACAGAAACTATATGTGTTATCACTGTCACTTCCGGTCAATTTAATGCACCCTTGCTGACCTCAAACTTTTAAGCAGTAGTGTATACACTACTTACGAAGACTGAGAAGACGATGTTCCTGTTTCAGTCCTTTCAGTTCATCTGAAACAAATGCCTTCATCTGCTGGATGTCCATCCCACGCCGCTTCTGTTACCAATTCACACATTTTTTGATTATTGTCACACTGAGAATATGCTAAAATGTATACTAACATGCTATGAAACACATCTGTAGCAAGCACTTACATCATATGCTGTTTGAAGATTTTTGGCCTTCTGACTTAAAAAGCCAAACACATTGGAGAAATGCTCGTTCCTTATTTCACTGAACACCTGATGAATTAAACAAGCAGGGTCATTTTTTTTTTTAAATAGCAGTTACTAACCACTGTCAATTTAATAATCTAACTCCTACTTTATCTTGAGAGTTAAGCATCACTTTGATGCTCTTGTCAGAGGAAGTGACATCAGGTCCAAATTCCACACTGCCTAGAAACAAAATCAAAATGACATAAAAAAGATGAACTTGAGAATGTTATAATTAACCTGTTATACAGACAGACATAAACATGTTTTAAACAACTACGACACAAAGACCCTGTAATATAAAATTGCTTACCACATTTTATTCTGAAAAGATCATCTACCAATCCCTCATAAACAACTTGAGAGCAGAGAGGAGTAACAAAGTCCACATCTAAAATATTAAAATATAAATTATGCAAGTTGTTATTACAACAGAAAAGGGCAATATTCCAAAAACTATAATAGTACAACTAAATGTAAATGTATTTTCATTTTAAATAACTGACCTCTGTCAACAAGAAAGACTTTCGCAAATTCAGGTTGCCTTGTTCTCTGTTCCCCCTCCTCCATTAGCTCCCTCCAGGATTCATACACCATCTACATACACAGACATACATGAAAGACTGCCTTGATTCTCATCCATGGATCAGCGGAACGAACCAAAAGGAGGGGGGGCCCATGGGGGGTTTGGGTTGCAGAACTAAGTTTAATATTAGAAACAGTAGTAATATTACCTATAAAATAATAAATATATTACCTACTAATGGTATTAGTTAGTTGCCACATATATTAGCCTATGTATTTTTAAGCTATGATTCTCCCACGATTCTGAAAACAAAACAGACAACCAAACGAAATATGTAATTTACTTGAGTTTCTGACTAAATGTTTTATTAATGTTATAGTAAATGAGTCTATTTAAAAATATTTATTAATTTAAACGATTTAGCCTAATTATGTAAAAAAAAATCATTTTAAATAAATGAAGACTTGTTTCGTTTTGAATCTCTTGAATGAATGGCTCACACATCAAATGCATTTAACACTCACTGTTCGCCACCTACTGGAATAATGTAACATACACATCATTACTTTCAAAAACCCATTTTGATCGCGGCTCCCGCAACATCAGAGTCTACATCCGGACTTTAAACTTTTATCAATACTTTCGTTATTATTTAATGTTTGCAACACAGAAATGTAGCCTACTGTGTAAGTAGACTGTTTATGAAGCTGTTTCAAACAAAGCTTTACA